AAAGAGCACAGTATGTTGAAAACAAGATTCGTGTTTCATTTTCTCGCGATATTTCTCCTTGTATTGCTTTGTTGAATGTAAGCCGGGCTTTTTTCAGTTTTTGTTCTCATCGACACAGACGGGAAGCAAATCACGACGTGAGTAGAAGCTACGTAGTTGGTGAAAAACTGATCGAAGGCCGTGATCGAATGTTCACACTACTTCCTAGTTTTATGACAACATTATATTGTACATCGGGTAAGATATTCATTTATATCGTATGAACTTATAATGAAAGCTAAAAATGTGTTTTACAAAAAAAGTTAAGTGAAAAAAAAAAACATTGATTTTTAAATTCAGCAAACAAAAATATATTTAAAACTACTTAAAAACAATTTTTCAGTATATACCCGAGTTAATTTCATTCATCCTTATAAATGATAATTCCACATTGTTAAATCTGATTGTCGCTTTTGTTCCGAAACACCAAGATATATTATCAGGGCAGAACATATTTTATAGTAAATATAAATCATTTATTCAGTAAATATAAAATATTAAAAAACAAAAAATTCAAATTTCCTGAATAACAGCTAGGGTCATTCATATTGGCGGCAATAGAATATTAATGGACGAAACCATCCTTCACTATAATCTCGAAATTTAAGATAAGCAATCCTGTAGGATGAAAAATATCAAAGGACGGAAGAACTCTAGATGAATCAACGGCCTGCTAACTAGAGGTGGTATCTCAATAAATCACCGTGGAGAAGGCAACGGGAAATCACTCCACTAACAATCCCAAGAAATATCATGGCATTTATCAAACAAAATATGAAAGCTAACGGTATAAAGGGGGTTGTCTATTGGAATTAATTCCTCGCCCGGTAAGGAGCAACATGTGCAACAGATGACACCTAACCGTCATCCAGCGACTGTTAGAATAAACGACATAAAGAGGGCCAAACTCCTTGGAATTGATAAAGAGCGACAGGTAATCATGTCAGTAAAAGTTCACACCAAACAAAAAATAATTCTCGGGACACGGAATGTTAGAACATTTAATCACTGTAGCCAGTTGGAAAATATAAAACAGGAAATGGGCAGATTAAATTTTAACATTCTCGGCGTATGTGAAACAAGATGGCCAAACAATGGAAATTTTGTCAGTGATGTGTTGTTTTGAAAGGTTAGTTATGATAAAACGGAGAAGAACAAAAAGGGAATAACAAGTGAAGATAGAATATGTTGTTTACTAATTGACTACCATTACAAAAGTGCCCACGTGGCCTAAAAAAGTGGGCTTTCGTATTTTCATAGCTAGAAGAGTCTATATTTTTTTAAGGGTCCAAGGGACATAATTTAGATTACACTTCAAGTGACAAATACAGGATTATATATGCAGGCGGAGAGAAAAATGAAAGAGGAGTAGGATTGATAAGAGACCAAGACATGAAGAAATGTATTCTGGAATACTGTCAGTTATCTAATAGAATTCCTGTCGTTAAACGGAAAGGAAAGCCTTTCAATATATCCATCATACCTGTGTATGCAACGAAAGCACAAAGTATAGTAGAAGAAATCGAAAAGTTCTACCCTACGCTAGAGAACACCAAGGATCAATGTAAATCTCAAGAAATCATAATTGTCATCTAAAGGAGAAATATATGGACAGTGTGAAAAGCAGATACAATGGACAAAATGAAAATGGAAACTTGAAGTCGTGCACACTAAGTGAATCTTTAGTGACACCAGTAAACGAAATCATCCCAAAGGAAAATAGACGAAAAAGAAAAAAATGATGGATGGCAGATTAGTTTCTGGACATGATGAAAAGGAGACAAAAATGCCAAGACAGACACTGAACAGAATATAGAAAACTACACAAAGAAATAAGGAAGAAATGCAGGAAGGCTAAAGAGGCATGATTCAAGGAAAAATGTGAAAAAAATAGAAATTATCACAGATAAAGCAGATATGCATTAAAAAAAATAAGAGAACTGCCTAAGAAATCAGGTACAAATGAATGTGAGCTCCATCGAACAATCAGCTTAATGAGCCACATAACATCCGAATTCTGATGAATAGATCGCGCAGTAAAATCAAACCGGAAATAGAACAAGAACGGTGCAGGTTCGTCAAAGACACTGGAACAAGGAACACGGTATTTATGCTCAGAATGTTATCAGAAAGAGTAATACAAATCCAGAAGGGCGTGTACCTGTGTTTTATAGATTACGCAGAGGCATTCGATAAATTATGCCACTAAGATCTGTTGGAACTGCTCCGCAACCTTGACATATTTGGGAAGGATATTAGAATAACCAAGAACCTATACTGACAGCAAACTGCCTGCATACGGATAGAAAATGAGTTCAGCAGATAGACAAAAAATAGAAAGGGGTGTAAAACAACACCGAACTTCTCTCAGAATTGCTTCGAAGTATAGGTTATTCAACCGAAGCAATTCTGAGAGAATTAGATGTTCTACCAGAATTCATTATTGGCGGCCACAATATTAACAACATAGGATATGCAGGGGACACAGTGTTGATAGTAGACACAGAAAAAAAAATGCAAAAGCTCGTACAGAATGTCGTGAAGGAAACACTAAACATAAACTGAAAGAAGACAGAATGCATAGTTGTTAGCAAAAGGATGAGTCCAAAATGTAAATTACAAATCGGAGATACTAAAATCAACCAAATACAAAAAATTTAGGTATCTGGAAAGATTTCTAACAGAGGACGGAAAGAGCAACATTGAAATCCGAAGACGCATTGGAATAGCCAAATATGCATTCCAAAAGCTAAATAAGAAAAGAAAAACTTCGCTTGAAACTAGGAAAAGAGTACTAAACTGTTACATTATATCTATCCTCCTCTATGGCAGTGAATGCTGGACAGTCTCTTCAAAGATGAGAAATGTGGATAATGAGGATGCCATGGACCGAACAAGTGAGTAGCGACGAGGTTTTAGAGAAAATGAAAACAAAAAAGAAACTTGTACTTAACATCAAGAAAAGGCAGTTGAAACTTCTGGGGCACATAATGCGGAAAGAGGGCTTGGAAAATCTGATACTCACAGGACATATTGAGGTCAGGAGGAACAGAGGAAAACACTGCGTAAGTAAATGGATGGCGGAACAGTGTTTGGGATAAATAACGGAAAAACAAAATTTATTAAGACCTATGAAGGACACGAAATTGTGGAGAGCCATGATCGCCTCGATTCTGAGGGAACGCTGCACATAAAGGAGAAGAAGATAGTCAACAAAAGTATGAAATTCATTCACTTTTGTTTATGTTAATTAAAAACATGTTTTTATTTGTATTTCTTTCTTTCACCAAATACGTAAACACTAAACAGTATACAACTTATTGTATTATTCATTTTTAACTCTTTTTGTTCATTTTTTTTTTTTTTGCTCTTCAGAAGACAAGAAATTAAGAAAAGAAGAATCTGCCAGTTAGAAACGAACATTTATTCCATACATTTTTTTGTCATGAATCTGTTCATAAAGGGTAAAACCACAAGCTTATTATCAAGCAATATTGTGTGTGTGTGTGTGAGAGAGAGAGAGAGAGAGAGAGAGAGAGAAAGAGAATGGGAAAAGTTTATTTGCGACACGTTTCGTCCTTTGGGAGTTCATCGGACAAAATTTGTTATGTTAGTAGGTCTACACATGCGCACAACAAAGGGTTACTGAGAAGTTTAGGATTTCAGAATATTTTTTTTTTATCTAGTCAAATTGATTTAGAGATTTTTTTCTTTTTCTTTCCATCATTTTTGTAAGTAGGTATTCCACACTTTAGATCTACCAGAAATGGTGAAATGTTTGTTTCGCAATGAATATAAAATAATTAATTCAATTCGAAGCAAAAGACTCATAAAATATACCAAAACAAAAAAACAAAGAAAACAGTCCCTCCTGAGAAACCCAATGAATACAAAAAATATATTATCCTGTCTACAATCGAAAAGAGAATCAAACTCAACATAAAGTTGTTACTAAAGCAACAAAAGACTTACTTAATCAATTCTAAACAAAACAATTAGGAGAAACCTCAAGGAATCTAAATAAAAGATTATATGGACACAAAAGGAACGTTTTTAAAAATAATTATACATGATGAAATCATTGGTTGTTCACCGTAACGAGACTGACCACAACTTTAAAAAATGCTCCTCCGATCAAAGGAGAAAAACAATTCACTACGGCGTAAATGTCTAGAGAGTGCCTTCTTCAACAAATTTGCGCCCTGGCTTTTACAACATTTCACCATTCCTGGCAGATCTTCTAATATCACAGTGTAGAATACCTACTTACAAAAGTGATGGAAAGAAAAAGAAAAAGACTCTAAATGAATTCGGCTAGGTGAAAAAAAATTCTAAAATTCCCAGTTCTATCACCATAAAAAATTTAGTCCGATGAAGTTCTGAAGGACGAAACACGTCACACTTTTTTCCAATTTATCATAAAAATGCCAAAATACTGTTATTGATATCTAAAATATATATCGTTAATTTATATATTTATATATATATATATATATATATATATATATATATATATATATATATATATGGGGGTGAAAGTACTGAAATGTTGAGAAGGGATTCTTGGCTGAGCTGAGAACTTTTCAGCACCCTCTCAACTAGATTTGTGTGTGTTTATATGTTTGTGCGTGTGTCTGTGTTACTTTCTATGTATGCATGTATGCAATTAAGGTAATTTTGATAAACCTAAAATAAGACCCACGTGCAAACAGCACCATGGTATCGTCTCTAACGGCAGCATGATTGATTAAGAGAAACTGTTACCATGACAAATCAACCATTTTTGATGCAAGAAGATCACGTGACGGCAAACTATGAGATTCCACATGAATAAGCAGAAACACGTGAAGGTGTAATACATTCAGGAGAAACAGACAAAGAAGTCTTCAACTGACTCTAATAATGACGTCGATGGCAAAATCAATGTCTTTAAATACTGAAATGTTTTTATGTTAGCACAGTTAAGGAATCACGTGCCATTTCGTGTGTAAGAGAAAGAATGAGAAATGGGTGAAGAAGAAGAAGAAGAAGAAGAATCTCTTGAAGATTGTGGTTTTGAAGAAGAGATACGTAGTTTTGAGGAACATGAAAAAAAAGAGAGAAGAAGAAGAACTAGATGGTTGTAAAGATGAAGAAGAGATAGGTAGTGCTGAAGAAGAAAAAGAAGAAGAAGCTCTTGCAGATTGAGAAGAAGAAAAGAAGAAGAAGACATAGGTGGTTGTGAAGTAGAGGAAGAGATATGTGGGTGTGAACAAGGAGAAATAGGAGGTTATGAATAATAATAATAAGAAGAAGAAGGAGAAGAAGAAGAAGAGATAGGTGGTTGTGAAGTAGAGGAAGAGATATGTGGGTGTGAACAAGGAGAAATAGGAGGTTATGAATAATAATAATAATAATAATAATAAGAAGAAGAAGAAGAAGAAGAAGAAAAAGAAGAAGAAGAAGAAGAATCTCTTGATAATTGTGGTTTGAAGAAGAGATACGTGGTTTTGAGGAAGATGAAAAAAACGAGAGGTCTGGTTTTAAAGAAGAAGAACTAGATGGTTGTAAAGATGAAGAAGAGATAGGTAGTGCTGAAGAAGAAAAAGAAGAAGAAGCTCTTGCAGATTGAGAAGAAGAAAAGAAGAAGAAGACATAGGTGGTTGTGAAGTAGAGGAAGAGATATGTGGGTTTAAACAAGGAGAAATAGGAGGTTATGAATAATAATAATAATAATAATAATAAGAAGAAGAAGAAGAAGAAGAGAGGTGGTTGTGAAGTAGAGGAAGAGATATGTGGGTGTAAACAAGGAGAAATAGGAGGTTATGAATAATAATAATAATAAGAAGAAGAAGAAGAAGAAGAAAAAGAAGAAGAAGAAGAAGAATCTCTTGATAATTGTGGTTTGAAGAAGAGATACGTGGTTTTGAGGAAGATGAAAAAAACGAGAGGTCTGGTTTTAAAGAAGAAGAACTAGATGGTTGTAAAGATGAAGAAGAGATAGGTAGTGCTGAAGAAGAAAAGAAGAAGAAGAAGCTCTTGCAGTATGTGCTTTAGATGAAGAATTAGAAAAGATAGAGGGTATTGAAGAAGAGATGGGTGATTGAGCTGAAGAAGAAGAAGAAGAAGAGATAGGTGGTTGTGAAGTAGAGGAAGAGATATGTGAGTGTGAACAAGGAGAAATAGGCGGTTATGAATAATAATAATAATAATAATAATGAGAAGAAGAAGCAGAAGAAGCAGAAGAAGGAGGAGGAGGAGGAGAAGAAGAAGAAGGAGGAGGAGATAGCTGGTTTTGAAGCAGAAAACGAAGAAGATGTGGTTTTGAATAATAAGAAGAGATATGTGGGTTTGAAGAAGATGAAGAAGAAGTAGCTGGTTTTGAATAATAAGAATAGATACGCTGTTCTGAAGAAGAAGAAGAAGAAGAAAGAGAAGCTTTTGAAGCATGTGGTTTTAAGAAGAAGAGATGTAGGTTTTGAAAAAGAGATGGATGATTGTGATGATGAAGAGATAGGTGGTTGTGAAAAAGAAGAGATAGATGGTTGTGAAGAAGAAGAAAAAGAGACAGGAGGTTTTAAAGATGTAGATGATTTGTAAGAAGTAGTGATAGGTGGGTTAGAAGAAGAAGAAGAAGAACAACAACAACAACAAGAACAAGAACAAGGAGACGAAATAGGAGGTTTTGAAGCAGAAAATAAGATGAAGGAGACGAAGAGATAGGTGTTTTTTAATGAAGAAGGATCAATAGTAGTAGTTGCTACTTCAGCTTTTCTTTAATTTTCGTTTTTTATGTTTTTGTGTTTTTTTCCTTTGTGGGATAATAGCATAGAAGCCTTCCTCAAACTCCAATAAAAGTCCTAGTTTTACCATGTAGTGAAGTTTTATCAATTTCTAGATCTGGCGAAGACATATATTAACATATCGATTTAACATCACCAAAATCTTGACATGATTATGTTATTTTCGACGACAAAGGAACATCCTAACATGAGATCCACGGTGTTTTACAAAAATTGTTTAATAGCTTATCCAATCATACATGTTATAGATCTACATTGCTGTTGAATCGCACCAAACTAATTCATGGCTGGTGTCAAAAAAAAAAAAAACAAACAAAAATATTTATTCATTTTCTGTTAATAATACATTTCAACAATGACAACGCGACTAACACGTGGAGATTTTCGACAAACACATCACTTCAACAGTGAAAATTTGACTCACTACGTGGAAACTTTTCACCAAACGAAAAATATGACATTTTTTTTAACAAATTTGAAGTAACAACTAAAAACGTTACTACTTCCACAGGCATAAAAAGCACAGCACATTTTCTTCATAATACCACCCAAAATTCACAAAGAAATGTACGCAAGTCACACGAGAAAATTATAACACACTCAAACCTAGAATAAGTCAACTTACAACTTTTCCAGCACCTAGCCAAAAATGAAACAACGCAAATAGATGTGAAATAATTCAACAACCATCAATTAACCGACACTTTAAAAATTAGCAAAACAACTTAGGCATCTGCAAGATCGATATAATAACACCGGAGGCAGAAACACCTCTAAAACATTATCACTCATGCCAGATCTTTTCAAAAGTTCTTATGAAACATGTTTCAATACTCGATGTATCAATTTCACCAGCATCAAAAAATTAGCAACTCAAAGCTTCCTCCTAGTTGTTTACATTTGTGTCATGAATAAAATCACCAACAAAACAAACGGGCCTTTCCAAACAAAAATTCAAAGTAATATGGAGCATTGGAAAACAGCTACTTTTTTTTTTTTTACAGCCATAGCAATTTACCGCTGGTCTCTTTGTCGGAGTTACCTCCTCCTTGGCTCCTTAAACCAGAAGAGAACAGGTCATTTCGACCTTGACCTCTCGGTTGTGTTCTCTACACGCTGTTAACCCGAGGTAGAGACTAGCAAGTTACCTTTTCAGTTTAGTTATATTACGAACCTAGTCGTAAGTTTAGTTTCCTTTTAGCTAATCTCGACTTTTTATAGATACTTTACTGTATTAGTTTACCAATTCTCTTGCTAGTCTCCCTTACCCACAAGACAGTGACTTCTCGCTAAATTTAGGGTCGGCGACTGAAACGGTCGGTACGCAGGTTCCTGGCCTCCGTGGCCAGGACGTCGACCACCGGGCTGCGTATTAAGTTACGCTCCCATTTTTTTTTTGCCTGCCAACTTGACGATAGTTGGAAATTTTCCTTCTCTCTCTCCTTCGCCTACTACTCCTGGCTCCTTGGCCCTGTTCGACTCTCGGCATTACGTCCCTACTGGCTGCCTGCACGTCGTCCATAACCTTTCCCGTACACTACATTTGTAATTATTACGGGAGGTTACTAATATCGAACTCGACCGGCAACACGCAACGCCTGCACTGGACCTTTGACATGCCCGAACAACACCAGCTCCTCTTTCCTTCCTAACACATCAAGTTGGCATCCCGCCAACGACCAACATCAAACCCAAACTACAATGACCAGCAGCGATTCCGGTCCCCTTTATTTCTTTATTACTTTTCTAGAATAAATTAACTTGTATTCTATATATCCTCGTTCTGTCGTCTATGTTGTTTCACCTTGTCGGGTTTAACGTCTTCGAAAATGCTAGCAGGCCTCTCGTGACCTCATCACCCTTTTATGATACTGGGGCGCTCGAGGGGTCCGCTACATCTTTTTCAACGTAAAAAACACACTACCGACATATTCTTCAGAACGTGCTATATTCTGGCACACAAAAAATTTCACAGCACTCAGATAACTCAGTTTACAAGTACATTTTTGTCGTCATATTAATCACTCACATTTTGAGAATTTTTTATTTGCAAAATTTTAGAATATTAAAATTTGAAGACATTTCAATGACTTCAGTAAAGAAATATTTAATGTATTGAGATTTGGAAAGATACGCCTCTGATAGCAAAGTAGACGATGGTTTTTACTGACGCCTTTTTATAGTGTTGGAGGCGGGAGACGATGCCTTCCTTTGATCGGGAGAGATTGTGCTCAGTCAGAGATTTTTCCTTGGTCGATTAAGACGCTTTGTATTCTGGCTCCGTGGGCAACAAATTCAGTTTGCCACGTAAAGTAACGTGTTATCTCGAATATTCGACTTACAGTGTCGAATTATTTTCTTAATATAGTTATTATTTATTTAATTTTAATTGCTATATATCTGATTTTATTTAAGGATGGGAAGAAGGGATAATGAGTTTTTCGTTTCGGGCGACTCTATACAAAAGATTTTTTATTAGTTCCGGTAGAATTCCGAAGCTAAAATTTGTTTAAATATAACTTGAGAAAAGTTATAAATTTGTTTAAATATAACTTGAGAAAAGTTATATTTTATTTTGATTTGACCTATAAGGCCTATTGAGGTATTAATTGACGCAAATATAGACCTTTGTTAAAGATAACAAATGTACTTGGCGGCTTTTGGAGATTTGTTTCAACTTTGTCTAAGAGACATTTATTTGGAAGAGGTGTTTTTATTCCCAAGAAAAGGAATTATTGCCTTTGATTTGTTTGTATTGTTGACTCAGAGAGTCAACGTTTTATTTGGCAGAGTCGTTCGATGCGGGGAAAGCTGCCCCATTCTCGTTCTCTATTTAAAATGAGATTTTAAAATATTTTAAATAGATAAATTATTTTCATGCAAAAATCACCAAGTGTCATATTCACTCTATGGAAATTATAATACCTATATTTAGAAAAATTCTCCCAATGGTTTATATGCATAGAAATATATTTACAGAAAAATGCGTTCGTATGCAACCCCTCCGAGGTCTAATATGTCAGAAAAAGGCAAGTTAATCCATCAAAAAATAACGTGGGAAATGTAAAAATAAAAAAAAGGAAAATAAAAATAAAGTGAAATATTCCCACATCAATTTTTCCTACTATCATTCAATAAAGAAGAGAGGAGAACGTGAGAAATAGAAATAAACAAAAATGAAAATGACTAATAAGTATGATTTAACAAACCTATTTTACCTTATCAGTCTTTCTCAGGACCGCAAACGCTCTAAACAGTTACTTCAAGATGTTATTCTAAGCTTTAATTCACAGGACACGTTCGTGCTACATTCACCCACTTTTCGCAAAAGTTCCACGAAAACAATATCTCTCTCTCTCTCTCTCTCTCCACCCTAATCTTAATTTTAGTTTAAGCAGATGCTTAAAGTAGGCTATCAGATGATAGAGAGAAAGAATCCGTAAAATATCTTTATTGGTGTCATCTCAATAAAATAAGCAAAGAAATATTGTTCTTGTCAAGCGACGAGGCCATATTTCTACAAATAGGCTTATCTTTTGATAAGCATGCAAACCATGTAGCCTTAAATAAGCATGCGCAGCGTGCGTACGAGGATGTATTGTAGTATAAGATTGCGTGCTCAATAGACTCACCGTAACAAACGCATTCTGGTGAAACAATCAATCAAACTACGAAAGACCTTTTGGTATTACCGACCCAGAACACGCCCCGAATCAATAACCAGATGAGTGAGGCTTCGTTATTCTTGCAGCATTTCAGTCCGGGTGCTCAAGACCTATAGGAAGCGATACAACTCCTCGTCGAGCCGAGCACCTCGATTAAATAGTCTCGCATAGCACCTCTTACTAACACTCGATACCTTTCTTGATAACTGAAGATTCTCAGAACATTCCTACATTCGCAGTAGGAGGAGTACTCGTTTCGAGGCAAATGGCGGGACATCCCTGATCTGAGTACACTATTCTCAAAGCGAACAAGCATTCCTTTGCATCTTTCTTTCAATATCCGACGTTCTCGTCATCCTGTTACAAGAAAAGGTAACCGTAAGGTATGCCGACGGATCTCAATATTTGGTATCCTCAGACCACTCAGAAGAATGAAAAAAACAAATCCCGGAACGCACCATGAGATCCCTGTTATAAAAAGCAGTTTAAACAGGATTCTTTCTAACTTTGTTTTGTATATTAAAATGTTATAATTTTGGTGTCATTTGTTTAAAATTCTTAAATTACAAAATCGAAATAAAAACATTTTGTGTTCATCTAAAGTATTTTTTATGTTAATGTATTTCCCCAACCAAATCGATTATTGTACTTTTTAGAGAAGATGTGGGTAGAAGAATGCTTTTATTTCCAAGATAACATGAAATACTTTGCTTAATCCCGAGGCTATCATTGTCAGCCATGACGTATGCTGAGACGATGGAAGACAGACAGCCGTCATCTCCGGTGCTAATTGCTTTCAAAAGCATAGCTTGCTATGTGGTTTCTTATTATTTAGCTTCTGGTCAAGAATTCACAAAAGCTATATTTCAAAACACTTAAATGAGGGAAACGGCATCTTTGACAATATACGTCATCAGACAATAAACGAAAGAAAAACTTTATTTGTTGAATGAAATGATTATTGCTTTGATATCTGCTGACGTCAGTTGGAGAAGTGTTCAATTATTTAAAAGGTAACAATGAAGGCACCTGAACATTTGCTTGCAAGTTATTAATTTGTGGAATTCATAAATATATTAATCCAATCAACAAAATATATATACATGAAAATTATTTGAGGTACTAATGGAAAATGTTCCTAATATCTAAAAAAGAACATCATTACACCAGTAAATACTGCATTTCAGATATCATTTAGATCTGACTACAACTCGTTTCAAAATAGCTCCCTTATTTTTGATCGAGTGTGAAGTGTTAATGAACAGATTTTGCAGCAGGCTTTTTGTAAGAATATGCTGGCAGACTC